CAGAATCTTCTGCAGCAGGTCTACATCATGATCATAGAAACGAGTACTCAACTCAGCTAGGTCCTGATCGGATTGATCCTTGCTTGACAGCCACTGGCGCGTTGTCATACAACTTTTGAGCTGCTTTCAAGCATCGGAGCCGATCAAGTGCAGGTGAAAATGCCAACGCCAATGACGACAAAGGAGGAGATACTGGCGACTTTAAACGTGTTGAGGAGAGCTCATTATCATGGACGTTTGCATTCCTCTGAGAAGCATGCTACTGGTTTTTTTCTGTCGACGTCGATGCTTCTTCCGGTGTTGCGCTCGTGATTCCGAAGAAGCCGCCACCGTGTCAATTTTGTCTTCCCCTTTGATGGCATGTAATAGCTGGAAGTTCGTTGATCTATTTCCGATTCTAGCAATACTTTCTCAGTGTTTCTCAGGGAAACAGTCCTTCAGAAACTTTCTTCCTTGGGGATCTCAAGCTGCTCGTTCTCTTTGTCAGGTGCCCATTACCTCATTCGTGGTACTCATACTACATCCTGAATCAGATACCCCAACTTGTGGAGGTTTGCCTTCAAGTACTGTTCGCGACCGACAATTTGGAGAAGTTATGAGCTCAAAGTAATAATATTTCTTCCACCATTGACGATTGCCTTTCCATTCCAAAAACATGGCTAGTTTCTTCTGAATTCACAAAGTCGCGTCGTCTGTTTCGGCTTTAATGTTTTTCATAGTACCATAAGAGTAACACATGCATTCGTTGCCGTGGCTAGGTCCTCAACTATCATGTCACCCACCATCTTTGCCATTTTTCCGTTTTTTGTATTTCCTTGCATCTGAAATCAAATACATTAGAATTATGTATGTGTGAAAATCGCACAATAGAAATAAGAATGTATATACCTCACCCTTTGGTATAGGTGACAACGAAGGCAATGCTACAGAGCTACTCGATGCCACAGCATTTGCCTGAGCTTCTTGGGACTCTCCATCACCTTTAAGCATCCGGTTAGCGACAGAAAATGGTGTTGTCTCTGACAGGTGGGTGGTAACGACACGAAGACTTTTATTATTCTCATACCAAATCAAGCATACAATAATTTTGACAAGAGCAATATGCTAACACACTGAAATCAGTAAATAATATTTACCTGGGCCTTCCTAATCTTAACAGCAGTCTTCTTTCCAATGCGTCTAAGTTTATCTGTGTGTAATATTGGCTCCCAAGAGGCAGAAATACAGCAATCATTCCGTTATATTAATATCAAAGCAATATCAAAGCATAGAAATATCATTATAGAATACAATAGTCCACCGTCGGACTGCAGCGGAGACGGAGTCCTTAACCACTGAGAAGACGGAGTTCTGTGGGTAGCTACAGTGACGATGTCCAACCGAGACAGGGCTGGTTGCAGCGGAGACGGAGTCCATAACCACTAAGAAGACTGAGTTCCGTGGGTAGCTGCAAGCCAGTGTTCCCTGGTCGGGACAGGGTTTGCGGAATTGCAGTGGAGACAGAGTTCATAACCACGCGGGAGGCGGAGTCCCATGGGTAGCTGCAAGCCAGTGCTCCCTGGTTGAAGAAAAAAACTCTCACCTTAAATTCATTTTTCAAAATTGTAGCATAGCTCTTTTGGTCAGGCGATCTAACGTCCTTGTCAATGTCGCCTTATCTAGAGGTGGTGAAAGCAAGCACTCGCGGTTTTCACATATTACGCGTGGGTCATGACAAACACGTGAATGTTTTGTCTACAGTCCAGTGGGAATATACCAAAAAAGGAAACGTGTTCTAGAATAATCTGTGAGCCAATTCTTGACATTTGATTGGCTCTCGCAAGTTTTTTACGCCTGCCACAATAGTAAATGAGACACGAAAACTCTAGTACTGTACTAGTGAAAGTGAAATGACAAAGTAATCCAATATTTAAATAACTTTTTTTCATAGTGTCTGTTAACCAGAAAGCAAGTGCAAAAGACCTTCCATGTCTTTTTGCAGACTTGGTTGAAAAGTACAGTGACATTGGATTAAAACCATGCGAGACAAAGGAGTCGCAAAGATGGCGGCATGCTAGTACTGCGGAGACAGCCAGACGACTCGCATCCTATCGTAATCATTTTCCTGAACTTACTAACCTACATTCTTCTTTAGAGCTTTACTCATTTTGCGAGAAACACTATAACCAGATCGTCGCTACTAATCAATTTTATCAACGTCTTATAGGTTTCGCTCAAGTGAATAAAAGACTCCGATCCGATACTGATGAAGATGATGTAACCGTTCCTGACCTAGCTGTTGAGCTTGACAATACTAGAAAACTTCTGAATTTTGCTCAGCTGGAAAGTCGACAGAAATCAGAGACGATAACAGATCTCAACAATCAAATCATACGAA